ACTGGTTGCATGTGAAATAGAACTTGAGGTTGCACTTCTAATCTGAGTTAAATTTGTTACCAAAGTCACTCATAGAGACCTTTCTTTCCTTTCTCAGCACGAATCTGAGATTCTTCCATTCCCTAATATAGAGAAGAATTTTGCTCTTCCTGATGAAATGATTCAAGAAGTGAGAGAAGGTAAGGTGTCATAGGAGTCTCTTATTCTTGGTTGCTTGGACTGGAAATGATCACAGTGCTTGTGCCATTCATATTCTCAGCTTCTGTGAATGGCCACTGTAGCAGACGGGCTACAGACCTTTGGACAGGTGCCACACAGTATTGCTGTGTTGTTGAGTTTAATGTAGATGGTATGCTAATGTATCACAAACATGTTCTATTTATACCATTTACATTTAGCTTCTCCTGGGTATACACAAAAGATGCGTCACTGATCTTCATTTGCAGAGTGGAAGGCAAAATACAATTCATTGCACTGTGAAATCATCTCTCAGTAGTGTTACCTTCTTGAGATTCAACTACCTTGCTCTTCCAAATCTCTCTCACTCATGATAGGCCTGTCTGTATTGCTTAATCTAACGTGCAGCAGTTTGACAGAAGTCTTAGGTTGAGCAGTGAGAGCTGGATTTGCAAAGTTCAGCAATACATGTGTTGCTCGGTACTGTTATCTGAGGTAGGAGCTACAGAGTTCAAGCATCACCACAGGAGCCCGAGGGATATTTTAGACCACAGCTTCTCGATTACTAGGTTACACTAAATTTTACGCTAAAAATTCAGCATAAAAATCACAGTATAGCTAAGAAACTGCAGTGTGTTTTGTCTGTTCAGCATTTTGCTTGCTTCCTGTTAATTTTAATGGAACTTCTTGACATGAGACATTATCTTGTTTAGTGCTTCAGTATGCCTGGACTATATTTTGTATATTTGTTAGCTATATTTTTCTGGCACAGTGCTGAGGAACCTTTCTAAATTAGTGCGGAATGTTGCACTGAGTATTTGTTAACACCGTGTACATATGCTGAGGCTACTAATCCTGAAAGAACTATGTGGTTCTTTAAGAGTCTAACCATTGCTAACAATCCTTTCTATAGGAAAAGTAATGATGGAAGAAGAAGTAAAAGAGGAAATAAAAGAAGAGATGGAAACACATGCAGGTCCAGAAGAAGGTAAATTTGTAACTCTCTACTGTGTAATACGAGATTAAAAACCAACTGTAACTCTTGAGAAATTAATGTCAAAATGTAAATCCCAAATCCAATGTACTTTGTGATTTGTATTCAGACTTAGCATATGCTTGTGCCAAGAACTAGAATGCACAGGATAAGCAGTTGCCCGCATCTGATACTTTGAAAGATTTCTCCTTTGCTCCTAATTCATGTGTGCAAAGTTGTATAGCTTTGGTTTTAATATGTACTTAACAAAACCCTGGGAGCCTGAAGTAATCGAAGGATCTCTGAAAGTTGAGACTGAAATACTCTGTGTTAGGATCTTTGTAGTCATGGGGAAAAACATGGGCCTATAAGTCAAAAAAGATGCTTAAATGAGAGGGTGGGGAGAGTGGGGTTTTATCTTAATTGCATTATCTTGCTTCTTACAAATCTAAGGCTTACTTTCCTAACACTTTGCTGTAGAACAAGGTCATATGTGAACAAGTAGAGATCCTGCTATTTCCCTTAACAGGCCAAGCTAACTGTTAACTATATAACTTTATAATATTTATATCACAGAATAAGTGGTGTTTTAAGATTGAGTGTAATAAAAGATTTAAGAATGTATTTTAAAAAAATATATTAAATTTCATATTCTGGGTGTTCAGCTTTAAAATCTGTAATACCAAATGTATTGACTTCTGCTGATGATACATCTCATAGATTGGTCCTCTGTTCTGTAAGTGTTCCTCTTCAGTATTTCAAGTGCTGTTTAATTCCACTTACTGAATTTCATTTTTTGCCTGTCTTTAAAGCAAATAATAAAAGCAAGATGTGCCTTTCTTACAGAAGATTTTTCCTTGAAACATTAAAGTCATATTTAAACGGTGGTTAATTATGCTGAGAATGGCTTGGTTTGGAAAGTTTGATGTAATATAAAGAAGTTTGATGTCACTTCTTGTTTGCCTATGTGTATGACTCTGATCTGGAATCATTACTTTGATCCTATTTCAGTTTTTGCACCCTCTGGAAGTTTAGGAAAAACAACTGAAAAACCAAGCAGCAAAGAGAAAGAGAAAACTTCATCAGATCCTGGGTCCAAAGAAGGATCTGATAAGAGGAAGCGCAACAGAGTCACTGAAAAGGTCTTAAACGCGAACAGTAATCCTTCCAGCCCCAGTGCTGCAAAGCGGCGCAGAACGTGAAGCAAGCTGTGAAAAGAGAGAAGTCAAAACTGGAACATGAGGAGGGAACAGTAAAAACAAGTAGCAGGATACTCACTACATAAACTTTTGGAGGAAGGGGAAAAAAAAAGCCAGGTATTTGAAGAGTCTGCACATTGGCTTTAAATCGGAAGACTCTGGTGTTCCTGATGTGTTCTCTGCTCAGCAGTGAGTGGCTGAGTGACAGCTACCTTCTCAGGGCACTGGGAGTGAAAGCTGGCAGTGTCCAGAGATCACGAATATGTAACAGTTCCTGTGGCTGCGTTTCAAACGGGTAACACACCCTGTGTCAGCATGGTTCCTCCAGCAAATGCTCAGTGAAACACCTAGCCTCTGTTCCTGAAAAGCAAAGGTTGTTTCTGTAAGTTTGGGGTAGTTTTTTCCTGCCTTTGCTTTGTTGCTGTCTTTGAATCTTACAGACCCTCTGAGGGTAACATTTGGCCATTTTACTTAATGCTAACATAGTGTTTGCATCAAATGCCTGACTCTTGGTTCAGTGAAACCAAAATCCTAAATCCACATAACCACTGAGTTATTCTCACTGTATTCTCTCATTCCATTTGCTGGAGGAACCTTTACTTCTTTCACCCTTAGAGATGTAACATTTTGCAATCTTTGTAAGTTTATATCCCGAAGTGAAGTGAAAATGATGCCCCCAGATAGAATAATAACTGTCCTAAATAAAATACCCCAATGTCACCTGTAGGGGATCTGCTGAACCTGGAGGTGTTGCTTCATCCATTTATAACACAGTAGAATGTAACAGAGAGGTTTGTACTTCATTATTTATTGTTCTTTTTTAAAGCAGTTTTAGTAGATGGTAATGGAATTGGTATTCCAAAATGTTACTTTTGTTGTAAAACTTCAGAATCTTCCTGACATTGTAATGCTTCTCTTTTATATGCTAGAATATTCAGATTTGATGAAGTTCTTATTTTTGTGTTGTGCAAAGATGGACCACAGTCAACAAACATGTTAAATGGTGAACGAAGTAGACTGACAAGTTACTGTATTTGTTTCACCATGTTAACTACCAGTTACTAAAAAGAAGGATTACTTCTTGATCCGTCAGTATTGCCTTCAAAGTGAGAAACTGGGAATCTACTAGTTTTTGCTTGTATTCTAGGTACATAGCCAAGTTCTGGTCTGCCTATTTTGTTTTCACTTGTTTTATACCAAGAATAAATTTGACTTGTTTTTATTTTACTAAATTGGAATTGTTGTGCAACTTGATTAAAACTTGGTCCAACTTATTTTGGAAGTTATTCAGACACCTTTTGCCTTTAGTGAAATTGGTTTTACTAACTTTGCCTGGGCTTATGGACTACTACCTTGTTATTTCTAGAAGATGCTTAATAATCCTTGCCTGCTGAGCTTGAGTCAGGTCGCTCTGAGCTTCCAAACCAGAGGATGTTCTAACTAGCAAGAATCAGTTATGAAGTATGGCATTAGAAGGTCAGAACTCTATCAGGATCCCCACTGTAACTGCTTACAGCCTGATGAAAGCTCACTGGTTTAGGGTCTGAAATAGTGGGGCATAAAGTTGTTCATGTCACCAAACAAATGAAGTGCTGTGAATTCAGTGCTACACTTGGATAATCCCTGCAAAAGGAACAATGAGGTACCTGCCAGCTGCACAGTTTGTGAGGGAGATGGTATTGGTGTCTCAGAGATTTTCTGGGTGGGTAGAGATTGAACTTTATAATCTTGAGTGAGGAAGCTCCTGGGTTTAATTTTGATGTTTAAAACGGATGTATTCGGTCTGATCGGGTTCCTAGAGGTTGTCACTTCTCCATCTACCATCAGAGTAGGTGCTGGGAACTGAACGGTGCTGTTAAGTTTTGCTGTTTCAAATGAGCTGGTTACTTTGTCCTGATCTACATAGATCTTGGCCAAAAAGTGCAGATTTTGTAACTTACAAATTTCACAGCTTTGGGGGTAAATCCTTTGCATCCAGGGGATTCTAGTCTCTCTCTCTCTATATATATATACACACACACTAATGAATTGTTTTCATAGCTAGATTTGTGTCAACATTAACATGTACTGGTGCAATCCCAGAAGCAGGGAGAAGCCCACTTGGGATTTCACGGTCAGTGCAGTGACACAGGTATTTTAGGAATTGCTTGGTTGAGAAGTTAGGTATCGGGCAACTGCGAGTGCTTTGAGTGACCTGTGTGTTACTGCTCCTTCCTTCCCTTCCCTGGCACCAACTCCTGGCTTCTTGGGAAGGTTGTTCTTGTATTCATTCTCCTGTGAGAGGAATATTGCTGTGGAAGGAGTCAGTTTTTAATGCGTGAACACCCAAGGCTTGCTAAACTCCCAAGGGGAAGAGGAAGCTCTGTTACTCCAGTGTTTAGTTTCCATTAGCAATCACCCCGGCACACACACACACAGAGCCTATTCGGGACCCCTTACAGCTGCCCATCGCCCGGCGGGATGGCAAAGAGCAGGAATACGTTTCCTACCGGTTTTCCCTCGGGAGATGGATGGATCCCGTGAGAGACGCGGAGCCACCATCGGCGTGAATGGAGCGGCGGCGGGCGGGCGCGCGCAGGGACCGCGCGGCGAGCAGAGAGGTGGCCAATGGGGAGCGGCGCCGCAGGAAGGAGGCGTGGCCTTCCCGCGCTTCCTTCCCTCCTGTCCCGCCCCACGTGCTCGCGCTTTGTGCCGCGCAGCTCTTTCGCTTTCCCTTTCCCGCCCCCTTTCCTTTCCTTTCCTCTTCCCGTCGCTCCCGCCGCGCTCCCATGGCGGCCAGGCACGGCTTCGGGGCGCAGGAGGACGAGGCGTGCCTCTGGGAGTACGACTCCACCTGGGAGGAGGAGGAGGGCGATGGAGAAGAGGAGGAGGAAGAGGATGGCGGCGAAGGCGAGCTGGAGGCATCAGCCGAGGAGGATCCGCAGGATGAAGGCGAGCAGTCGGCGCTGAGCTGGGTGCAGAGCTGCTGGCAGGCCCAGGTGGGTCCGGGGTCCCCGCGGTGAGGAAGCCCCTTCTGTCCGCTCCGCGGCTGTCCCGGTCCCGCTCGCTGCAGCTTTCCTCCCCTTAGTGCTCAGCAGAGGGGTCGGCACCGTCAGGGTTACAGCGACCCTCGGGATCAGCCCAGGTACTCGCGTGTGCGGGTGATGCGCACCCTGGGTCCTCCCAGGCCACCCCCTCCTCTGCTGTCAGTGCATGTGGGCTACTTCTCTGCAGTTCCTAATTTGCTGTCAGGAACTGGAGCAGCTTAAATTGCTTCCAAAAAGTAAAACATTTTTTTTTGCCCTGGCAGTGATTTATAGCGTATAATTTTGTCCTCATTTCCATGAAGCAAAGGAGACGTGACCTGAGGCCCGTTCAGAAAGGAGCTCTGGGTGGTGAAGGCAGAGGTGTGATGTAACTTTATGACCCCTTAAGTTCCATTAGACCACCATGAGTTGGGTTTTAATATTTCTTTCACCACCATTCCCTGTGATCTGGATGCTTTATTCCATAAATACAAGTTCTGTCCCACACCTCCCTCTCCATCGTATCCTGATGACCGCTGAATTTGATGTTATAACACTGATGTTCTTCAGGTGCTTCTTGGTGTGAAGTTCTTTGTTGGTATCTTCACCTCTGAATGGTGGCTTTTTCTATGCTCTTTAATGCCGTCCATAAGAAGCCATCACATAACATGCCTTTTCCCTACTGAGCATATGCAGAGCAACTCTAAAACCAAAATACCCATCAATGTTTTAAAACCTGCAGGTATATGTGGTGCAGTTATAGTAAGTGAGGTGGTGCTGCATAATATGAACAGTTGTGCCTCAAAATAATCTTGATTTGAAATAAGAAGAACTTGTTAGTCTTACATGAGGTTCCTGTATTTAGCATCAATGTGTTTGATGTGGACTGACAGTGATTTCTTGTACAGCATTGCTTTGGCAAATGCAAAACTTGTGTCTCTGTTCTTCAGTATTTCTTGCATCAGTCAAAACACACTGAGTTTAGTCCTTTAACTCCTCCCCTTTCGGAGAAAGGGAAACTGATCATTCACTTGGGTTTCATTTCGGTGGCTCATCCCTATTTTTGACTATAAATAGGCAGATAAAGCTTTCTAAGTAATACACTTGTAAAGGAGTTTAATGTTAAGCTTTAAATTGTTTTTAATAAGCATTAAGATGTTAAAATAACCTCCCTTTAAAAAATGTAATTCTGTGCAACAGAGTATTCCAAACACTCAAGATTCCTATAAAAATACACACTCTATTCTTTGCATTTCAACTTTGATTTTATTTGCAGCAGATGGAGATGCCCATGCTTGTCTCTGCATCTCCATGGAGCTTGCTGCAGGGAATGTGGTGAGGCCTTGGCTGTGCACCTGGGTCTGTGCAAGGTCACAGGTGTTTCAGGTGGAATAGTTGTAAAACTTAAAGACAGAGGCAGAGATTGCCTTTGAAGTGTTCTGCATTGTTTGAGGGCACACTGGCAACTTCCTTCTGTATTCTGATGTTGTCCACACGTTTTAATGCCTCCACAGCATTCGCATTGTTGCTTTTTAAATGAGTTTCTTCTTCAGATGTTTTTGTTTTCTTAGAGCTGCTTCTGGATTGTGACCACTAAAAGCAAGGACCAGTTTTTCACTCCAGTGAGTGGACTCCTCAAACTGTCTCACAAAGGAGGATCCTTGTTCCTGAGACTTGCAGCCCTTGGAATACTCTTCTGCATCTTTAAAGAGTTCTTCCGTCAGCAATGAACACGTATTCACCTCTGTCTCACAGTGCCTGAAATGTTTCTAAGGGCAGTGAGAGCGGATGCAGAAAGGAACAGTAAATTCTGTGTTGTCCATTAATGCCTTTACAACCTGCCAAAGGCTTGAATCAGTTTCCAGAAGTAGTTCGTACTTCTGCTTATATTGCACTAATTCTTGTTCTTCTCCCCTCAGCTTTCATGGTGCACTCTGCTGCTGAAGCTGCTAATGTTTTCATTCAGTACTGAGGTTGGAGGGTTTTATTGTTCTTCTTTTCACTGTGTGCTTTCAAAACCAACCCAAAGTTCTGCTTTTATCTTTGCATTTCACTCATGTCTCTACAAATCCTCTGTGTTAGTGGGTTGAAATTCTTGCAGGGATGCCTTTTCAACTCTCTTGCGTTTTGGGGCTTTTAGTGTCTTAGGAGTGAGCATTGAGAAGCTTGGGGTTTGTGCTTATTTTATAAAGGTCTTTCTAACTTGGAAGGTTATGTTTCTGTGTGCCTTAAATAGGAGTTTATAGAGACCCAGAAGCAACACCTGCTTAGAGGGAGGGCTGAGCTTTGCTCCCTTTGCTTCCCCGTCTTGTTCTCTTCCATGCTGAATTTCAGGCAGAATGCCTTTGTCCTGGATCTAGCTTCTTTCCAGCTAACCCATACAGCACTTTGCATCTGTCTCCGTATCTGCGCTTACTCTGCAGCAACCCAATTGTGTTTCAGTCTACTGTTAGCCTCTTCCACCTGACTCTGTTAGCAGATGTTATTTTAGAACATGAGGTGTAAAGAATATCTGGAAGTTGATGCTTCTATAGCTTGGAACAAAATGTTCATGAATTCCATGTGTATCAGGATTTCATCCTTGGGGTTCAGAAGTCAACAGCATCGATGAATTTGAGTGCTGAAGCCCAGCCTCTGCTTACAACAAAGGAATGGTAGTGATCTGTTCTGGCTGAACACATTTCTTAGTCTTGTGTTGGCAGCCACTTGTTTTTTTAGCTGGGTAGCCAAGCTTTTTATAGGTGGGTGCATTTCTGCAGTCTGGGTGGGTTCTGGGGATGGACACCAGTGCTTGGATTGGGCCATGCGCCTGTGGGAAGTTCTGCTGCCTATTTTGGTCTATGTTGTCATGGATAAAATAGAAATGTGTTGCAATAGAGACAGGCAGTATTTTAGGTCATCACAAGTTAGTACATTTAAAAACCAACTTGAGCTTTGTTTAATTCCTCTCCAAAAGTATGGGGGCATCATGGTGTGTCTATGATTAGTAAACGTATGTTGAAAGCTCTGCATTGATGGCTTCCCTCTGTGGATAAAGGTTTGATCTCCCAAATGGTGTGTGTGCTTCATGAATTAAATATTAACAACCAACAGGGCAGCAGAACGGATGACTTTATTATAAGGCATTACAAAATCTAATCCAGTTCCTGCCTTAATAATTAATGCACCAGTGTTCAGTGTACACGAGAAAGTGGTTTTAAGAAGTATCTCATTAAATTAAAGAGTAACTTGCTGCTTCTTTCTTCTATGTTTCTTAAAATGCTTGTTTTGCAAGAGCCTGCCCATCTTATTCCATTCACAAAGACCCTGCTCTTGCTGTGAGCTGGTGTTGAATGTTCTAACTGCACTGTGCTTGGCGTTGGGAGCATCCTTGTATTCATGAGCAGTCGGGTTCATTTTGATGGTTCTACCTTGACAGGACACTTTAAAGCACTTTAACAGTTTGGGACAAGATGCTCCAGCACTCAGCAACATTAAACCTGTTTATATGGCTTGTGAAGTGTAACATAATCTCTTATCATTGAACTGATGCACTGTAAAAATGCATTTGGAATGAAGTCATACTTGCAGCTTCTATTTCCATGGAGTTCAGAGGAAGAAATGAAGCTGTTCTTTGTGATTTCTGTCTAAATGCTACATTTGAGATAGTCTGGCACATGTGTAGCGAGGAAGCTGACACCTAATTATCAGGTGGACGTGGCCCCACAGCTTTTTCTCTATGGCAGTTTGCATTATGAATAGAATCAAGCGACTTCAGCTGTAACTAGGTAAATCTGTCACTTGGCAACTGGTAGGGATCATGTGAGTCACTGCTGTGGGTATTCTTATTTCACTTGTTTTATTAGTCAAGTTTGGTTTCAGGATGCTTCAACTGAATGCCTTTTATTTGTAGGAGCCAAAATCAAATTCGTCACCGTTGTTTCGGAGGAGTTTTCAGGTAGGTTGGTTACTTGGAGACATGAGCGATGATGAAGATGGTAATTGGAACAGAATTCCAATAAAACAAATATCTCAGTGTGACCATATGGCTCTATTATTGTGCACTGTCTGGATCAGCATGATGTTGAATCAGCAAGGCTGCTCTTGACTATAGAGCAACGATGAAGAAAACTTTATTTCAACAATGCAGGGAATGAGAATCTTGAATGTAAGGAATATTTCTACATCCTAAATTCAATGGTTTTAAAGTCTGATCTCTGTCTTGCTCAGACACAGACAGGCAGGCAAGGCTTAGTTTGTCTTGTTTTAAAACCATGGAGTTAAGGAAGAAAATGACATGTAAAATGTTGGGGATATCCAGCGAGTTCTGAGCATTTCTATGGGAAAGCCCAACTGGGATAAAAGATGCACATAAAACATGAAGACCTTCACTAATAAGACTAGAAAGAAAAAGAAATGTTTTGGCTAAAGGAGATAATGGGAACTTCTCGTAGTCCAAAGTTGTCTTCAGGAACATAGAAAAAGGACTGCAGTAACAGACTGGCTGGTTTGGAGGAGTGGAAATTGATAGGCAGGGGAACATGTGTAAGAGATGCCAGATTCAGGCAGTGGATTTTGTTTCTTTGGGTTTCACTTAGAAGACGGCTTCATTCTGGATCTGTCTCTTTCCTCCAGTTCTCAGGGAGGCGCAACTGGAATGCAGCAGAAGACTTGCAGAGATACAGACATCAGTACCCGGTATGGACTAAACAATGATGCTTGGACCCTTGTGGCTCTTCCTCATTGCATGTTCCCTTTAGGTACACGTTGGCACTTTTTAGTCTTTACAGTGACAGGCTGAGAGCCTTTAAAGGATTCATTTGTGAGGGGGGAGGGATGATGTGTATGTGGGTGCATCTGAAACAAGCTGTTACTTCCCCAAACACATTTCAAGGATTCAGCTTGAAATGTTTAGGAAGCGTGAGGGAGTGCAAGGAGGAGCACTGAACAGTGTGGTGAATAGGAGCAGTGAATGCTGCCTTTTAGAGTGCTGCTTGTTGATTTCTTGTTCTCATTGCCAGGATTTGATGGAATCAGAAAATGAGGAGGAAGAAGAGATGTTGAACTTAAGGTTTTATAAAAACAAGACTCACTTTTTGCCCCAGGGTGAGTGCCTTGTGTGATAACTGATGCAGTCTGCTGTAGTTGGTTGAATTGATGACAGCGTAGCTTGATCCAGGTGGGACACATGCAAAAAACCCAAACCAAACAAAGCACCACCAAAGAATCCCCCACCAGAACCAAAGCACCACCCTTTGAAAAATGTCCTTGTTCCTGCTCTGTGTTCCTTAATTTTCTGTTTGGTGGTAGAAAATGAGGGTGTTTTTCTGGGCTCGCCTGGTTGTCTCATTGGAGAAGCCAATACCTGTATGCAAACACCTTGGATGAGGGGCTAATTGTAATTCTTATTTGGCATCATTTTGCCTTGCCTGACTTTTCCCTTTTCTGTCCAGGTTTGTTTATTGAAAATCTGCTTGAATCTTGGTGGGACAACTATGAAGTTCTGGAAGAAAACCATTCTTACATACAGTGGTAAACTATGTGCATGAATAGAGTGTCTGTCTTTAGCTGTGCCTCTTAAGGGTCACTTGTATATTGCTGGATTCAGCTTCCTGAAAGACCCAGGATTGTTCTTCAATGAAACCTGAGTCACCTTTATTTCATTTGAGTTATATTCTCCTGGAAACAATGCAGTGGAAAGCCTGAAGACACAGGTTTACAGCATAGCTCTCAGTCATCCTTAGCTTTACAGCATACTGCAGAACAAGAGAGATCCAGATAAGCAAAGTGTGTTATCACTGGTGTGGCTGATGCTTTTATGAGACTAATTTGTCTTACAGTGAACTATTTCTGTATCCATAAATATGTGAGTTCTCCAAGAGATGTCTGTGATATCACAGTTTCCGGAATCTTTTTAGTTTAAACAAATGGGTGCCCTAGTTGAATGTCATCTTGCTCATCTGTGCTGAATATTCCTTTCCCTTCAGGCTGTTCCCTTTACGTGAACCTGGGATGAACTGGTATGCCAAGCCACTCACGTGTCGAGAAATCCAGGTACATAAAGCTTTTGTCTTTTGAGATCTGAAGGATAATGGGATTTTCCCTGTATCTGAAGTCTATAGAGTTTTTTAAATTGCTTCCTTGGGCTGTAGTGAGAAGAGAGCTCACTTGAGCACTGTTAAGCATTCCTCTATCTTGTGTCTGCCAGTAGCTACCCAAGCAAATTAAATGCTTAGTGATATAGTAATAAAATAAGCCTTGTTTATGATTCAGGTGCAGCTTAAACTGGTGCCGGTCATTAGGGAGTTGCACCTTGTACTCATTGCCAGGTCTTGTTTCCAGGCCTTTAAGAAGTCCAAGGAAGTTATGCAAAGATTTATCCGTGCTTATCGGCTCATGCTGGGATTTTATGGAATCGTTCTGCTTAACGAGGAAACTGGAGAACTCAAGAGAGCAGAGAACTGGGCTGAGCGGTTTCAGAACTTGAACCGGTGAGTGTCTGTCGATGCTGCTGCTCATTACTGCAGGCAGGCTCTTGGAGAAGAAAAAGCAACTCAAGAAAACCCTCAGCCCTTGAGGAATGGAGGCTTTTACTGATAGGAAAGTTAGCCAGTTAAAGTCTTTTTGACTTCGCTCAGCCTCTGTAGGTCATCATGCTCTCGGTGACTTTAAGTGACAAGTATAATAAGTAAGCCAGCTGAGCCTGGTGTTCTTTTCCATCCAGTGCAGCCGTTAACAGCAGGCATTCTTCATGTTCTGGCTGAAATACAAAACACAGACCTGGAGATGTGAACATTTGCTCTAGCAGAGCTTATGTTTTAAACCATACTTTAAGCAGGAATCACTGAGACATTGTCACAGATAGGCAAATTGCCTTTGTAGCATTTGGTTAAGCTACAAAATGGGAGTGTTCCCATCTGCTTCCCTGCTTCTTTATAAAGATGCCTTAATGTGTGTAAGATGCTTGGAGTCCTTGGTTGAAAAGTGCTCTGTGACTTGATGGTAATGGCTTTATATGATTGCAGGTCGCATCACAGAGATAGCAATGACCTCTATATTCTAGTGCCCTTTATGATATTAAAAAGGGCTCTAAAAGGACTGGGCATGCTCACAAAATAAAAACCAACTGCAGGGTCACTGTCAGGGACAGGAGATTGGGCTGCATGGACCTGTGTGTCTGACCAATGTGGTAGCTGTAATCTACTGATGCAGAAAGCCAGAACCTCAGGCTGCTGAGGTTGATCACCTCAACTACGTGGAAAGAAGGGCTGGGAAGGTGCTGCTGAAGGCAGACAGCAGCAGTAGGTGCTTTAAAAGGAAACCCACCTGTACTCCCATCTGCATTGTCAAATAGTCTGTAATAGAGGAGGGTCAGTAATGCACTAAACGTTTTGCAGATGGCCTCAATGTTCATATTGACTTGTGAGGCTTTCTCTTAACACCTTTGCTTCTCCGTTTTGTTCAGGTTCAGCCACAACAATCTGCGGATTACTCGCATCCTGAAGTGCCTGGGGGAGATGGGATATGAACATTATCAAGTGCACTTGGTAAAGTTTTTCCTAACAGAAACTCTTGTTAAGGAGACGTTGCCAAATGTCAAGAGAAGTGCCTTGGATTACTTCCTGTTTACCATCCGGAGCAAACAGAAGAGGAGAGAACTGGTCCACTATGCTTGGCAACACTTCAGACCTCGAGACAGCTTCGTGTGGGGGCCACACCACAAACTCTTGAAGTACAGACCCCGCTCTGCCAAGTCACAACTGCAGCAAAAGGCTGAAGATAAACAGGAAACTCCTGGTAGAAAATGTGATGATTCTGTGGATCATCAGAACCAGTCACCAGAGGAAGAGCAGGAGGCTGGAGATGCTGCAAGCTTGCAGCCGGAAGTGAACAATAAAGATGTAAAAGAGAAGATAAGTGAATGTCCTTTGAAAGGAGGAGGTGATGAGGAGGCGAAAGAAGCTTCGTTTACCCAGCAGGAGGAGGAGGATTTAAACAGCGAGGCTGAAGAAGTGCAGGGTGCAGCAGAGAATGATTGCACAAAGGAGAGCAAGAAGAGAAAACTGGATGCAAATAGGGTAGATGCTAAGAGTGGACCACTGAAAAGCCCTACTGATATTGAAAACATTTCTCATAACCTGGGAGAATGTGCAATTGATGCAGAGATCACCTCCTCAGCTCCACTCCTAGAAGCAGAAGAGGACAAGGAAACACTGAAAGAAGAGGATGCAAGCACCAAAGACCCAGCAGCACCAGAGAGCACTGATGCTGCTGTGAAACGGAGGAAGGTAGATAAAAGAACAACGAGAAACAGACCATGCAACTTGGCCATAAACCTGAATATGGGAATCAAGTCCAATCCATCAGTTGCAAATGCTGAGGCTGAAAATGATGGTGAGAAAAATGCAGCTGTGGATGTGGTGAGAGAGAGGAGCAGTGGTGATGCAAATGGTGGGGCTGTGGGACCCCCAGTCGATTCCAGGCTGCACAAGTCTGGCTGGACTTCTCCAATAAGTGATGGCTTGGAGGCGAGTGGAGACCGAGTCACAGCAAGGAGCGATAAGCAGCACTGCAACAGCACATTCCTGCAAGGGGAAAGTGAGGTAGATGGGGTAGAACAGCATCAAAAGGCAGAAAATGCGAGTGAAAAGGAGCAAGCAGAAGTCACAGGGAAGAAACATCCCCCAGAGAGTCTGAAGCAGAGCATTGCATCCCCTTGTCCTGAAGAAGACAGTACTGAGGTTGCAACACACGAACGGGAAAGCTCTGAGTGTGCAGCAGAACCTGCTGAGGAGCAGGTAGCAGCAAGTGACACCAGCATGGGAAGCACTTGAGCAAGAAAGATGGCACTGGCCTAACTGCTAGGAGCCAGCTTGGTGGTTTGGATAGCAGAATTAGAAGAATAAACTTCCTTTGGCTGATCCAGGCTAGACCCTGTGTGACTTGCACTCTTCAACTCTTTTTTTAACCATCTGTGGTGATTTCACTGAGATCCAGTCCTTGGCTACCCTAGAGAGGAAAGCTGATTTAGTCATTCCCCGCAGGCTGTGTCCTGTTCCTGGTTTTTATCTGATTTTCAGGACTATCTTGGAGCAACAGGGATTTTTGCACTTTGATTCTGGTATGCCCCCTCTTAAAGAGGCGGGGAGAACTGGTCTGTTCCCTTGTTTGAACTGGTCAAGTTCTTACTAAATACATGGCGTTCAGTGTAAGACAGCATGACCTAACTTGCCAAAACTTTCTATTTCCATGTAACTTCTATTTGTTATTTTGGATGGCTGTACCTTCCCAGGGGATTTATTCCTGGCAAAGGTGCAGTTCCCCCCAAAGAAAAGGGTATATGTATTCATTTCACACCATGTAAGAGTATTGTTGCCTGTCCTCCGATAAAGAAAGTGGGTTTGACTTTAGGCTGGGATAAAATGCATAGTCAAAACTGCTCTCTGACCAGTATTAAACCTCAAAGAGATACTGTTCTCTAGGGTGCAAAGTGCTGAGTAATGTGTTCCCTTTACCACCGCTGAAGTGGCTTTGTAGTGCTTGTTGGAGTTGAGTATGAATTGTCTACTGGCTTCTAAGAGAAGAACCTTTAGACTTTGCATAGAGCTTTCCATTTATACCCAGTGCTGGTTCAAAGCTCTTCCTTCTCCAGCTGCCAAAATAGAACACAGTATTTGTTACTGCATTTTTCAGACTTTGCTGTGAAGTTGCAGTGGTCTGTTGGGGGTTTCTCTCTTCTCTGCATGGTGTCAGATGTGTCAGATTTAACCCAGTCCCTGGGAAGGGCAGGATTGCTTTACCAGTAGTGATCAGTGAGGGCATGTTGGAGTGCAACGTGTCTGGAAACCACCGGGCTTTGTGGGGCAGATAATTGAAGCTTTAATTGCAGGGAGGGGGGGTGTGCTTGTCTGCTTCATTTATTTACAGCCCTCAAGAATTTACCCTCAGACCTTGCCAGCTATTTGCCTGCCTTAATGTTCCTGACCTCCCTGTTAGCTGTTCTGCCTGACTTACACAGCGTTCAGCCCAGCCTGAAGGAGCGTTAAAGCAATTTAGCACTTTCACTCCTAGAGGTTTACAACAGGGGACCTGTTTCGTGAAGCAGAGGAAGCCATTCCCAACAGCCAAAAGGTCTGGACTTGTTTGCTCGGATGGTTTGGTTTAGTTCTGGGGGTTTTAGGTGCTGTTTGTTTCGTGTAGGAGGTGGCTAAAGGTTTGCCTGCATTTGCAAGGGGGAGATGCAGTAGCCTCTGCAATGCTGATGTTTTCCCTCTGTGCTACAGCTCTTAAGTTTCCTCTTTGATGGAGTTTGATCTGTGACTTCCCAGATTACTGGGTACTGATCCAGCTGCCATGTACAAGTCTGCAAGCCTAACATCTAATGTTCATGGTCACACACATGCTGGAAAAAGGCTTTAATGTTTTTAAAGTACTACTTCTTTTTCCTATGAACAGGTGGAGTTACAAAGCCAATGAGAATACACTGAACTACAGACATAGATACTTGAAGATGTTGAGTGAAAATTCGTTCATAAAAGATTCATGACAAAATTGTGGCTTTTGTACAGATTTATAGTAATTTTCTTATTTAATGAAGTTTTCATTGTGAATATGCGCTCAGTTGGGGCATAGATCATAACTCTTGTTAGGGTGATTTGTGGTTTGTCTTTGTGTTTAATGGGATTTCACTGTGAGCCCTGGTCTGAAGTGCTCAAACCAAACCATTCCTGATCATGATCAGGTTTGATTTTGGCTGTAGGTGTTTGCAGTGAGTTCACAGGATGTTTCCAGCACTCAGAGCTGTATCACAGAGTCTGTTATGTTAATGTCACCTATTAAAGCATGACTTTGATGCGTACCAGTTTCTACTTGTTTCATCTTTGAGGGTAGGACATGACCACATCCATTTGCCCCACCACAGGACACAAGCACAGGGGTGTCTTTGTGGTGATGCTTTCTGGGGTCATTGTGTCCCTTCAGCTGTGCCCCCTCTGCCTGGGGACATGCAAGAAGAGGACCAGTCCTTTTGTTGGGTGCATCCTCCCAGGGCTCTTCTGTTGCTGGTCGTAAGCAGGCTTCTCTCACAGCAGCCCTCATCCCTGCCTTGCTATGAGCAACGTGTGGCTGAGGAACTTGAGTATTCTTTGCCTTCTCTCTTGCTATCAGTTGGCCTCCGTGTGAAGGAGGAGATGCAAGCTCTGTGCAAAGCCGCTGTAGTGGCTGCACTGCTCGTCCTCTGTGGGGTTTGTGGTGTCTTATGAAACATTTAATTCACTTTGATGACAGGCACACACACACATTCCCTTTCTGTCCCCAGCTGCCACAAAGTCTTGTGGGAACTGAGTGAATCTTGGAGCCCTTTATCCTTCTGTCACAGTTAGTATTGGCTGCTGTGGAGCTGGACAGGCACACACTGTGCTCATGTAAACCTCCTGGTGCAAGGATGCCAAACTGAGACCTGGTATTTCACCTAAGCTTTGCTCTTCCACTAATGCTCTCCTCTTGCTAACCAAGTGGGCTGTGTCATTTCAGTCCTGATGAATCTTGCCACTGTTCCTTTCTGCTTCCCAGCCCTGCTTTGGATTAAATTGCCTTTCATCGATAAAGGGAAGCATGAAGCTATGGGCGGAAGATGCATCTTCATGAATATATTGCCATTTGGAATGGGAACTCTCATCCTGTTCCTTCCATGCAGATACTTTGAAGGCAAATTCTTCCTTAAATTATTTTGTGGCTCTCAGAATGTTTCTCCTTTTATCTCCCCCCTTGTATCCATCTGCAGTTATCTGTTCTCTGCTCAGAATTCATCACTTCCTCATCACTTCCTTCAGATCTCCCTGCAAAAAAGAGCAAACCCCAATCAGATGTGAATACACCTCCAGAGCTAATAAACCCTCTCACAAAGCAGTAAGTGCATGTCTCTGTAGTGCATCCTGTGCTCTTACAGGCATACTAATTCCTCTAGTGAAGTTGGGTTGCCTCAGGCACTGAATAACTCACTTTGTGTTGCTTTAGCATCTGTCCGGTGCAGAGGTGGTGATGGGCTTTGAGAAATGGTCCATGTGAGCGTCTGCATCTCCCGCAGCATCCCTATGTCCAGCCAATCTGTAGGCTCCCTCGCTGCTCTAGGCTGGGGCTGCTCAGCAGGGCATGAATGAGCTGCCCTTCCTGACTGCCTGCTGCTGCCCCTCCTGCTCCCACCTCCTTCCTAAACCTCCTCTTTCCCTCCTCCAAGCTCAGCCCCTCTTGCCTGTGCTCCTGAGCTCTGCCCCTCGGCTGGAGCCGCAGGTTTATCTGGAGGAGAGGAGTCCCTGTGTGTAAGCTGAGACCCGGGAGGAGGGATCTGCTGGACCCTGGAGGAGAAAGGGTTTAGCTGCCCAGGAGGAAGGAAGGGAGGCAGAGCCTGGGCACCATGGCTGGATTCTCTACTTTGGGGCTTCTCTTCCTCTGTCAGCTATTAGCCACAACAGCAGCTCAGGTAAGAAGCCTATACTCCAGAAACAGGTCTATAAGGGTAAAAGACAATGTGATGTGTGTATGTTGTACCTGCAGGGTGAAAGGTGGCAGTTTGCAGGTTATTAGAGTCTAGCGTTCATTAAGAATGTGTGTGTTGCTTGTGCTGTTACACAGTGCCTGGCAAGCACATCTGGGTTTGTGCCTGCATAGTGAAGGCTTTCAGATCGTATCCTCGTGTAGAAAGTGCTGCTTTATACTTTCTGTGTAAGTATTGTCTTCCCATTCAGGACTTCAGTTACAAGAAAGACTTGGGAAAGGGGAGACCTGTTGATGTAAGAGGGACAGCTTTCTTTTACAGTGCAGTATAGGTTGCCAGTGAGACTGATCTGAGCTGATCTGGGTTTTCATCTGAAGCAGAGCTCTTTACTCCTTCCCTCAATTAACTTCCAAATTTTACACATATAAAATAGCATATCTAACCCTTTGGTCACTGCAGATTTCTCTTGAACTCCCCTGTATGTTATTGATATTATTGCCTGGGGTAGTAACTCCTCAGTGAGGTTTTCCATTGTGTTTGTGAGGAATTTTTGCAGCCTGGGTTGGGAATTCAGAGCTGCTTCTACAATGAAACCTTTGTTCACTGAAGCTACAGCCAGTTGCTCTCTGGAGCCCTCTCCATATAGAAGTCAGCGATTGGAGCTTGCTTTCCTTCCCCCCAGCTCACACCTCCTCCAAAATCCCAGATTTTCAAATGGCATCATGCTCAGAGAGGAGAATTTCCCTTTCTCCTGTTTCCAGCGGTGTCTGCCCGGCTCTTCCATCACCCATAAGGCTGGGACTTGATTTTTAGTGCCATTCACTTGCACCTATTTTCCGCGGGCTTTGCATTTCCTCCTCTGCCCCAATTGAACCGTGCTTGTAGGCAGTGAGGATTTCCTATACAACCAAACCCATTTCTCACCCAGCAATCAGCTTTGATTCCCAGTATAAACCACCCGTTAAACAAGCTGGAAGCCCTAAGGATGCCCTCAGTCAAAGGGGTTTTCCAAAGAGCCTTGCATTAGTCCTGAGCTCCTCTGAGTCCCCCCTGTTTGTGGGGGAGCCCTCGGGGATGCAGGGTTAGGGTTCAGCTGTAGGATTTAGCCCATTTCTGATGCAAATGTAAACTCTTCTCCCTCTCTTCCCTCCAGTCCTTTCAGAGAGTGGGACCACAAGGCCCTCCTGGACCACGAGGACCCCCTGGACCATCTGGGAAGGATGGCATCGACGTGAGTGACATATGGCAGAGGGAGGGAAGGGGTGGAGCAGAGGCAAAGCCAGCTGAGCAGAGAAGCTGCTCTTGTTCTCCAGAGCCCCAGCCTTTGGGCTATCCTATGGAGGTTAATGGACCTGGAGAGGCAGCTTGCTCGCAAGAGCCAGCACAGCGGGTGGAGGTGCTGAGTGGCATCAGGTTCTTTGCAGGATCAATCCCCTATCTCAAGAGCAGCTTCAGGGCAAAGCTATTGTATGTGCAGGGATTTGTGACCCTGCTTGTAAAGTGGGATATTTCTCTATTGGTATCTAGGGAGGAAGGGGAATGTAGTACGTAAGGTTGAGTGCACAGGTATGGTGTTTGTTGGAGTCATTGCCTGTTCTGCAGCTCAAGGAGAGGTTTATGTGACACTTCAGAGCATCCATGTTCCTAAGAGGCTCCAAGAAACTCCAATTTGCAGCGCTGGACACTGCTCTTACTTACATTTGGTTTATTTCAGCATTGTCAGTACGGTTATCCCTGGTTTACACTGGCATGCATGAGGTCAGAATCTGGCTCATGTGTTGCTAGACCTGAGTTGCCTGTAGTGGCACCAAAGGCAGCTGAAATGGGCAACCTTTATTTCAGCAGCAGTTCCTTATTCATCCACCTCCCGCAGAGGTAGAAGGCTGCAAACCACAGCACTTGCCGGTGGAGAAAAGC